ATGGGGGATGCAGCCCTGGTCCTCTGTGCCTTCCACAAGAGTGGAGCAGGTGGCTCTAGGCAAATAAGGTGGGCACAGAGCCTGTGGACCTGGATGCCACATGCCTGGCTCCTGATTTGCTTTCTGCTTTTGAAACAAGCTAGTGTTGAGTCACCAAGTTGCCCATCCTGGGTTTGAACTCACAGACCTGGCCTCTGGCCTCCGCGGAAGCCTCCCACTGGAAGCAAGTTCCGTTCCCATACACATTTGCTTCTGCTGGGAGCTTGGGGGTCATTGGATCACGGTCCATTTTAATTCAGCCAGCTGGGTTCCCCAGGGGGAGCTTTGCCTTCATGTAAGCCTGGGTCTCCTGTAGGCCCAGCTGGGGTGGGAACCTGGAGCCTCCTGGTGCCCTCAGCCCAAGGTTGGTGAACGTGCGGCCATGGCCGCCCACCTCGGGGCAGTGCGCTCCTCCCCTCGCTCCGCATTTGCCCCAGCCCGAGGTCCCGGGCCTCTCTCCAGCCCTGACCTGGACTCCCAGTCTTGGCAGCTCCTATGCGCCTGGGAGCAGAACTTCCGGTCCCCGGGCTTCTGTGGAAGTGCCCAGAATAGAAGCCTGTTTCACTTCCCAGGGTCTGCTCCTGTTCTGCTGGCCTGCGTGAGGTCCAGGGACGTGAGCACGTGCACCAGTGTCAGCCGACCTGGCATCCAGCTATGTGCTCTTCCTGGGGATGGCAGTGCCGCTTTTCCTGTAAGGTCACTGGGGAGTCCCGGGTGGCACCTGCCTGCCTGCCACAGGGTCGTGTGTTGCATCTCTGAAATCCCTCCCTCCCTGCCAGCACCGGCCTCTGCCCCACCACAGGAGGGGATGTGGGCGTTGCCTGCGTGTGGAGCAGGACCCCTGGGCTTGGCTGCCGCAGAGGCAGGAAAGAGCCTGGTGGCCCTGAGCAGTGTTGCTTCCTGTCATGGTTGCGGGTGGTTTGCTGTCAGCCACATGGGCTGACTCGGCTGCTTGAGGTGTTTCCCACCATGTAGGCAGACCAAGCTGGAGAGTCCAGGAAGGGGCCAGTTTGGAGAGTTTTGGTGACCGTGGGGACCCAGTGCCTCAAGGAGCCTGTCCACGGGTTTCCATTTGTCCTGGACGCAGAGCCCTTGGAATGAGGTGTCTTCCCCACTTACGATGTAGACATCAGTGACGGAATCCCATGCCAGCTACAGTGGCACAGGCCTGCAGTCCTGGCACTAGGGAGGCTGAGGCAGGACAGCCACAAGCTCAAGACCAACCTGGACTGTACAGCAAGCCCGTCAGCTGTACACACTTGTTCCAGGAGTGCCGAGACAGGAGGGGCATTCTCGTGTTCCGGACAGTAGGCCAGGCCTCTGCCCTGTTCACTGCTGGACATACAAGGGAAAGCACAACACAGTCTTCCAAGGAGCAGTGAGCCCGAAGACGGGTCAGCAGCCGGTGCGGGGCCTGTGCGAGGCCTTGAGGGTCTGGGTTTGGGGCCACCAGAGCCCCTCCGGGAGTGGGAGGGCAGCAGGCAGCTGGTGAGTCAGTGGCCGCACGCCGGTTCTGCCCAGACCTGTGCTTGGTGCCTGAGGACTGCTGCACCTCCTTCCAGAGGGGATCAGACCCATCAAACCGCCAGTTAGGGAGCATGTGTGTATTTGTGTGTGTGTGTGTGTGTGTGTGTGTGTGCGCGCGCACGTGCGCGTGTGGCCGGCTCGGCCCGCCCCATCATGTGGTGCCAGGGGTCGAATCGTGGGCCCTGCGCTTGCCTAAGCTTGCCTAAGCAGGCACCTTAGTCTGCTGCGCTATCTCGCTGACCCAAACTCGTGTTTATTTACAGCTTCAAGGGGCCAGAGAGATAGCTCAGCGGAATAAGTGCTTCCCTGGCAAGCACAAGGGTCTGAGTTCAATCCCTGGTTCCACCAAAAAAAAATAAAATAGAATATTTACAGCTTCATAGTTTTCCTTTTCTCTGTTTTTACTGTGCCTTCTCCCCCAGCCCCTGCCTTGTTCCCCTTCCCAAATAGCGTTTCTTCCCACTTTGCAGTAGCTGTTGCACATTCCGGTCCTTGCACTTGAGGTTCCTCACACTGCAGAAGCAGCGAGGCGTTTACACGTACGTCTGATTTATTTCACTTAGGAGGAGTGTGCACTTGCAGCACATCTGTTTTCCTAGAAAAGGCTCGAGTGCGTCCTCTATGAGGCTCCATTGTACTAAGAAACAGCAATTTCGTCGTGGGCTCACCAGTTGGTGGGTGTTCGGCTGTCTCCAAAGCTCAGCTATTCTGGCTGCAGCTGTAAACAGGTGTGCACGCTACTGTGGCGGATGCTTGTGATCTGGGCTGCGAGCACCCCAGAGGGGAACGGCTGGGCAGCCTGACCTCCAGGCCCACTGAGTCCACAGGAGTTGCACAGTCTACACTCCTACCAACAGGCACACACATTTAATAGAAAACAATGCAAATACCCAGCCGTGTATTAAAAAAAAAAAGCAAGCCCCAGAGCGCCCCTGGTGGTAGCTCCAGGACAGTGCTAGTTCGTAGTGTCCACGCCACTCCCACACCTGCCCCCTGGGGCCCTCGTCAGCCTCCCCGCCAGCCTTGTGTGACGTGTCCTGCCACCCCTACCCTGCGTGGGCTGTTTGCTGGCCACAGAAATCTGGCTTCACCCAGCATAGCAATAAGTAGTGATTATCATCATCATCATTATTATTATTATTATTGTGGGGTTTTTTCCCCAGAACCGGGGATTGAACTCAGGCCCTTGCACTTGCTAGGGAAGTGCTCATACCACTGCGCCAGCTCCCTGGCCCCTCTACTATTGCATTTAATACAGGGTCTCACTACACAGATGAGACTCACAGTGATCCTCCTGTTTTCAGCGTCCCAAGCACGGGTCACAGGTGTGTGCCACTATGCCGTCTCAACGCGCCCCGGGGTTAGGGTCGGCACGGCACTCCAGGGATCAAACCCTGGTCCCTGCATTGGCCTGAGCAGGCACTTTAGTCCCCTGAGCTGGCTGGCTGGCTGGCCCAGGCAGCGATTATTTGTTTGCGATATTATGCAGCTTCGGCTACCCTTGAGCTCACTGTGGAGTGCAAACCCACAGCAGTCCTACCTCAGCCTCCCATGCGCTGGGCCTGCGCCACCATACCCAGCGTGGGCAGGGATTTAGAGCCAGACTGGGGGGCAGGCCAGGCGTACAGAATGGAACCTGCCTACAGAGAACCTAAGCCACATGGCCCAAAGTGTGCCCAGCTCACCCCTGGGGATGGTGGCATGCCGTCCTTTCTAGACCGAGGAGCACGCACACTACTGTGTTGGGCCTAGGGCTGACCAGAGCCCTGCATCGCTGTCCTCTGAGCTGACTGGGGCCCCCAGCAGCCCCGCACCGCAGGCTAGCACAGTCTCCTGGGTAGGCTCCACGCAGCCCCGGGAGGGCACCTCCCGCCCCTACCTCCTGCAGGCTGTGGCGGCCTCAGAGCCCAGTTGCGCCTGGGTGGGCACCTGTGGCATCCTGAGTGCTGCGGTGGTCCCAGGCCTGGTCGTCTGGTCACCTCATGCCCCAAGGGATGTCACTGTCCCATGTTAGGGCTCTGACTCAGCCCATGATTGGCCGTGGCCCCAGCCTGGGGTGTATGGTGTGGTACTAAGGCAGAGGGAACATGGGAGGATGTGAGGACACAGGCATAAAGTGATGTGGCCAGGAGGAGGGTGAAGCCAGAGGCAGGGTCTTTCTTAGAGAATCCACCTAGGCATCCAGAGGGGGTTTTGGAGCAGGGTTATGAGTTCACTAAGAGGCCAAGGGAAGAACGGAAAGCAAACAGCACAAGCAAGGACACACAGATGGCCTGCTGGTGCAGGGTGGCCATACAGTGACATAGGCTGTGACCAGGGAGAGGCGAAGGGAGGTGGAGGTGAGGCTGGGCCTGGCCAGGGAGGGGGCTCTGCTGGGCTCTCGGGGTCAAATCCGAGGCCGCCTGTGTGGTGCACAGCCCTCGGTTGCTTCCTGCTACGCCTCATTTCCTCATCAGCAGGCATCCGTGGAGCGACCCCATAGGAAAGAAGGACCCTGGGTCTGTCCCCTCCACCCTGCAATGTGTGGGGTGTGCCAGGGCCTTGGGTGATGCCACTGTTGCCCAGGGAGGAACAGCCCTGCTCCTTTGTGACTTCCTGGCTGGAGCCTGGGGGACCCTGAGCTCCTACTCCAGGGGTCTAGGCCTGGCACAGACAGACTCCTCCTCTCCAGTCCCCTCGGGTCAGGAGGCCGTGCATCTGCAGAGGGCTTTGCACCAGCTTGCAGGAACCCTGCAGTGCCAAGTGTCCTGGGATGCCCACTCAGGCAGAACCTGCCTGGCCAGCCATCCTTGTGGGCACTGAGCTCAGTGCAGCCTGGGGATGGCTGGTGGCCTCTTCTCCACCCTGTCCCTGGCCAGCAGGTTTCTGCCCCATCCCCCACCAGTGACCCTGCCCCAGGCCCAGCCCCTCAGACTCCTAGTTCCCAAAGCCCAGGGAGGAACCCCGCGGGTCTCACAGCCTGGAGCCACAGAGACACAGGGCTTCCAGGAAGAAGAGCTGGTGCCCTTTGCATCTCCAAAAGCGCACCTGGGGCCCGCTGTCCCAGAATTCCTTGTTTGAGTTATTTAGACAACTCTGGAAACCTTGGCTACTGTTTTGTTTAGCACCCAGTGGTCCTCAGGGAGGGCTGGGAAAGGCCCCACTGTGGGCAGCAGATATAGGCAGGAAGAAGGACCCAGTGGAGCCTCAGGAGGAAGGGCTCCCACTGGATCCTCCTGGGGCCGAGGGAGGGCCATGCCCTCCGTCCAGACCTATCAGAGCAGGGCTCATTCTTGCCCAGAGAGCTTTGTCCACCCCTGCACTTTTGGGCTGGGACTCAGCAGCATGAGGACCTTGAGCTTTGCCTTCAGCCTCTGCGAGTGGCTATCTGGGCCCAGTGCCTGCGTGGCACCTCTGCCCCACAGTGCCCGTGTGGCCTGGTCTTGGCCACAAGTCAGACATGTGTCTTAGTGGCTGAGCCCTCCTGTTCCCATTGCTGGGGGTCAGGACGCCTCTCACTCTGGTATGGACCCCAACAAGTGCATCAGCACGAGTTCAAGGCACCTGGGACCTGGGGTTGTTCCCCTACTCGTGCTGGGTTTCTCCCTGCTTTCCTAGAGTCTGCTCTGGGTTGGGCTTCAGGGGAGGGGTGTCCCTCATGCTCAGAGCCCTGGGAAGAAGGGGGATGACTGGGCATGACCTCCCCTTGCTAGGTCTCACATGAGCACCCACGTTCTTTTTTCCCCTGTTGGAGATGAAACTGACTTTGCTCTTCTTTTTATTTAAATTAAAAACCTTTTTTTTTTTTTTTTCAGTTCTGGGGATTGAGGCCTGGTAGCACTGAGCTACATGTCCAGCCCTTTTTATTTTGAGAGGAGTCTGTTTCCAAGGCTGGCTTTGAACTTGAAATCTTGCTGTTTTAGCCTCCCAAATTACTGCCATTTCAGATGGGCACCACCACGCCCAGCAAGAGGCTGCCTCAGAAGCCCACCAGATGCCAAGAGCCTCGTGTGATCCAGGCAGGCTCCACGCCTCCCTGTCTCCTGCAGGCCTTTGGGACAGGAGGATGGGGACCTTGGCAGGGTGGATCCGGGGACCAGGTGCAGGTGCCCTCCTCCATCTGTTTGGAGTCACCTTGTGGCACACGCGATTCAGGCCCTGCACACAAAGATGTCCTGTGCACAGTCTCCTGGCAGGAAAGCCTGCCTCACAGGCTCCCTGCACATCTGGGAGGGCTCTCCCTCGCTGTCCCCGCCCATGAGCACATGCACACACGCACACACACTCCAGCTGAGCGTTTCCTCCACTGCTCGCAGTCCCCTCTCCTGTCTCTGCTGCTGCCGCCACTGAGCTGCCTGCCTCTGGGCCAGAGTCCAGGTGAGGGGGCGGTGGGAGTCAGGACCCAGGGAGGGCGCAGCTTTGTCAGGGCAGAGGGTTGGTGGTGGTGTTCGGCCACAGGGCAGAGATCACAGGAGCGAAGGGCCACACTTTCTGCAGCACTCACCTGGTGCCTGGCACGGGGGCGAGTGTCCTATCACGCTTGCATGTGCATGGATGGCTGGGGTCACCGCAGCAGAAGGACGGGGAGCGGGGACTCAGCCCCGGACCAGGCTCCAGTGCCTGGCTCTCTGCTGTCCCCTGCCATGGCCAAGGCAGGGTGCTGGTGGCGACTCCTGGCACTCGGCTGCACACGGCATAACAGCTCCTCAAGACCCCCACAGGGGCCAGCACCATCCTGGGAGGGAGCCATGAAGCTTGCTTAGGGGGACAGCAGAGACAAGGGACTGTGGCAGGGACTGTGGGCAGTGCCTCTCTCTCCCTCAGCATGCACCCCAGGAGAGGATGAGGCTCCCAACCTGGAAGCTCAGGTGGCGGCAGCCCCTGGGGAGCAGCCTCCTCGCTGACCCCAGCTTGAGGAACCTGTGTGGGCAGTGGCTGCTGCTGCTCCAGGCCCCTCTCTGGATGGCTTTGGGAGGATGGGTCCTGCATGCTGGGCAGACCTGATTCTGAAGGATCCTCTGCCCCATCAGCTCTGTGCTTCAGGCAGTTCCTGTCCCATCTGTAATGTGCTGGGAGGTCCTGGCTTCTTTGTCCGATCAGGGGGGAGCAGGGGGCATCTACACAGAGCACCCATGGAGGCCCCCATGCTGTGTGTCCAGCCCCACCTGAACCTACGCCCCATTCTGCCCAGCCCCGCCTGACGGGCAGCACCCTCTACCCCCGGTCCCAGCTCCTCCTTGAGCCCTGTGCACCTGGCTTTGGGCACTCTAGCACCGGGGAACCTCCTTATCAATCTTAGCCAAGGAGGGGTGAGTGCAGGACTGGCAGTGTGGGTCTCCAGCCCAGCTGCCAGCCAGGGGGGAGCCGTTGGGCGGAGCCGGAGCCCCAGAGCGGGAGTTCCTCCTGCCCTTATCGCATTTCCTCTCCTGCTGTCAGGGAGCCCTGTGGTCTGCACACCAGCAGCAGCCAGCTCTACGGGACCACAGCTGCTGGAGTGCTGCGGACAGAGTGGCAGGAGCGAGGCAGACCCCTCCTGTCCTATGCTGCCCACTGAGGCCACATGTGGCTCTGGGCTCTGGGGTCTGGGAGGTGAGCCCTGCCTGGCGCTTCTGTGGGTCAACCATCAATGAGCCCCCAACCTCCTAGCCAGGGGCTCTGGTGTGCGCACTCTGGTTGCAGAAGTGGAGCCAGACCAGGGCTGCGGGTCCCTTGCGCTCCCCAAGCACCCACGGCCCTCTACGTGCCTTCCCTGTCCGCAGGCCTGCCATGGCCAATGCCAGCCTGCGGCCGCTGTGCCCCCTCCTGGAGCAGATGAGCCAGCTGGGAAGCCACAGCAACTCCAGCCTGCGCTACATGGACCACGCCTCGGTGCTGCTGCATGGGCTGGCGGCCCTGCTGGGACTGGCTGAGAACGGGCTCATTGTCTTCGTGGTGGGCTGCCGCATGCGCCAGACCGTGGTCACCACCTGGGCGCTGCACCTGGCCCTGTCCGACCTGCTGGCCTCGGCCTCGCTGCCATTCTTCACCTACTTCCTGGCCGTGGGGCACTCGTGGGAGATGGGCACGGCCTTTTGCAAGCTGCACTCATCCGTGTTCTTCCTGAACATGTTCGCCAGCGGCTTCCTGCTCAGCGCCATCAGCCTGGACCGCTGTGTGCGCGTGGTGCGCCCGGTGTGGGCGCAGAACCACCGCTCCGTGGCCGCGGCGCGCAGGGTGTGCGCGGTGCTGTGGGCGCTGGCGCTGCTCAACACTGTGCCCTACTTCGTGTTCCGCGACACCATCCGGCGGCGCGATGGCCGCACCATGTGCTACTACAACGTGCTGCTGCTGGCACCGGACGGAGACCGCGACGCCACTTGTGGTGCGCGGCAGACGGCGCTGGCGGTCAGCAAGTTCCTGCTGGCCTTCGTGCTGCCGCTGGGCTTCATCGCTGCCAGCCACGCGGTGCTGAGCGTGCGCCTGCGCCGCCGGCCCCAGGGCGGACCCCGGCCCGGGCGCTTCGCTCGCCTGGTGGCTGCGGTGGTGGCGGCCTTCGCGCTCTGCTGGGGCCCCTACCACGCCTTCAGCCTGCTGGAGGCGCACGCGCACGCCGTGCCCGCCCTGCGGCCGCTGGCCTGGCGTGCACTGCCCTTCGTCACCAGCCTGGCCTTTGTTAACTGCGTGGTCAACCCGCTGCTCTACGTGCTCACCTGCCCCGACGTGGGCCGCAAGCTGCGCCGCTCGCTGCGCGCTGTGATCGAGAGCGTGCTGGTGGAGGACTGCGAGACCGGTTCCCGCCGGCGCCGGCGCGGCTCCTCCTCCCCAGGAGTCACCTCGGCGTCCTCCTCATTGTCGCTGGCTCCAGCCAGCGGCCAGACCTGCTCCCTGCTCCGCTGGTTGCGGGGCTCCCGGGGGACGGGAAGCGACAGTATGCCCAGCTCGGCCTCCGGGTAGGGGTGGGGTAGGGCGCAGCTGCGTGGGCGCTGGCTCAGCCCCCCAGCAAAGTGCGGCTCCATGCACCCTGCGACTCTGCTTTGGGAAAATAAACTGCGCCGAAGTAGGGCTTACAATCTCGGATGTTTGAGTCTCCAGGGCCTGGGCAGCGAATACTGGAGCGGAACCCACAGCCTCTGCGCTGAGCTGTGCCAGACCTTTCGTTCTGCTAGGTCTGAGCAGGTTGTTAAGCTCCAGCTTTAGACCGCCCACTTCAGCCTCTCAGAGTGCTGGGATGACAGGCGTGTGCCACGCCTGCATGTGTGCCACGTCTGCCCCCCAGGCCGCCCTCAGAGCAGCACAGGCCAGGTGGTGAGCAGGGAGAGGCACTTGGGACCTGGCAGGGCACCGGGAAGCTCTGCCCCGCCCCCACCCCGCCCCCAGCATGGCGACTGCAGCGTGGCCTCCTGACCACAGCACCCACCTGAACATCTGCTGCCCCGCCCAACCTCAAGGGCGTCCTTCCAGGCCCTGTGCCCAGCTCCTTCACAGCGCATGGAGCCCCGAGCCCTACGTGGGCTGCTGCCCCCTGGCCGCTTACCACCCCAGGACCCTTGGGGCACCCAGGCATCCCCATGTGGGGCCTGGGCAGCCCCATGGGCGAGGAGGGCGTGGTGGCCCCACGTCTGTCCCTCCCTGCAGCACTGCCAACACACCATGTGGGTCACTTGTTTATTGTCTCTTCTCTGCGAGGCCTCCATCCCCAGGCGCTCAATAAACACCTCCCTGAAGCCCCCTGAGAAAGGGTGCAGGGAACCCATTCCCCACCACTTCCCCACCACAACCCTTCAGAGCCAGGTGGGAGCAGCCAGACTCCTGGGTGGGGGTGCTGTCAGAACTGCCTTCCAGCAGGCCTGGGGCCGGGACCCTGATGCTGGCCTTGGGGCCCGGGCACACGGGGGACCGGGCGGCAGGCACTTGGGAAGGACGGAGGGGTCAGCTGATCCTCCCTGGGGTTACAGGTGTGCACCACCACAGCCCAGTCCTGGACCCTCCAGAGTCTTCAGAGGCCAGGAGTCCTTAAGGCCGAGTGCTGGTGCTGGCAGAGGCCTCCGCTGGGTGGCCCGAGAAGGCTGTGTCCGTGAAGCCAGGAATCCTGCGCTCAGGCCTCGGCTGCCCCCTGCCGCGGTGCCTGCTTCTGCAACAGGGCCAGTGTGTCCCTTTTCTGAATGGAGCGCAGCTGCTTCTTCTTCACCCGCTTGAGTTTGGCAGGGTTGCGGATCTGGGGGTAGGGTGGGGTTAGAGGCGTTAGAGGCGTTAGTGAGGCCTGCTGCCTGCCCCCTCTCCCCCCAGAAGGGACGCCCCACCCCAGGCTGGCAGAGACACTCACCACCTGCACCACCTCGGCCTTCCGCTCATTCTCCAGGCGGCGTCTCAGGTTCTCAGCCCGGCGCTGCTTTTTCTCCTGGAGCACAATGGGGGACACAAAGAGAGGGGAAACTGAGGCTGGAGCCCCTAGTCAGGCTTGGGGGTGTCAGGATGGTGGCCTGGGAAGCTCTGAGGAGCCACAGGGAGTGACCCCTGTGCCTCAGGCCTGGTGCCCATGGGGCCCTGTGGAGGGCAGCTCGACCTCTAACCAGGGTGGGGCCCATGCCTGTAATCCAGCATGCCAAGGCAGAGGCAGGAGGATCTCACATTTGATCCCAGCCTGGGAAATTTAGTGATATTTCGATAGAGAAAATGAAAGAAAGCCTGGGGTGTAGCTAAGCATGAAGGACCTGGGTTCAATGCCTAGCACCACAGAAAAGAAAATGAGTGTGTAAGCACAGAAGGGCAGCCGAGGGCGGGACTGGTGGGCAGGGCAGGCGGCTCCCTCAGGAAGCACCCTAGCAAGGGGAGCTCTGCCTCCATCTCCCCCCATGAGGAGCAGCCAGGGTGCAGGCCCAGAGCCCAGATGGCTGGGGAAGAGGAAGCAGGCTGGATCCTGGGTCCTGGGGATGCCAGCAGGCACCTCTGGGCCTCAGGAGGCAGCTCTGGGGGGGGGGGGGGGGCAGCAGCAGGGCTGCGAAGGGAGTGAGATAAGGGCTCAGCATTCGGGAGTAGCCACTGTCTCCAGGTTGACTGTGGGCCAGGGATTGGCCACCAGCAAGCCCATCCCTTGGTCCCAGGGACAGTGTCACTGACCAATGGAGCCGATGCTCCAACCTCTGGGCACGTGACACAGGAAAGGGACTGGACTGAGCAGGTGGCTCCAGGACTCTGGCCATACAGCCTGGCCCAGAAAGCTGCCTCACCTGCCGGCGACGGGCCTTCTCCTCCTCCAGGTGCCGGGCGAAGTCCCTGGCCAGCTTCCGCTCCTGCCGCTCCTTCATCTTGCGCTGCCAGGATGTGCGCAGGGGCTTATCCTGAACCATCTGGGAGAACCTGGGGGCCAGTGGAGATGCACAGTTACTCGGCAGGGCCTCCTGCCTGCAGAAGTCCACGGGCTGGGCAGGAGCCTGGCAGTGCCGGCCGCGTCTGAGGGGCTCTTGTCTTTTAGACCAGCCTCAGGAGCTCAGAACCAGCCAGGGGGCCCTTGTTCGTGCACTGGTTGGGACCAGTGCCAGCTGTGATCCAGTCCTGGCCGGGTCCACCATGGGCAGATACCACGGGCCAACTCTTTTCTGGACAGGGAGCGGAGGTTCAGGTGTGCTGCCCCCAGCTGCCCCCATGGGGGACACGAAGGAGGTAGAGGGGTATGGCCCAGCGGAGGGGTTTGCTCCCGTCAGAGTTAGACAGCTGGATGTGGCTTCCTGGAGTGCCAGGTGGCAATGTGCATGAGGACTGGCTTGCTTTGAAACAGCCCAGGACAAAGAAGGGAGGAGGGAGGACCATGTCAGAAGTGGAGAACTGGAGCGGGTGGTGGGAGCCTGATCCACGACACTGCGCTCTCCTGCGTGCTTACAACTCCCACAATCAAAACAGGGCTGGGGAGATGGCCAGAGGCCTAAGTGCACGTCTGGCAAGCGCAAGGTCCTGAGTTTGATCCCCATGCCCCCCCCCCAAAAAAAAGTGAAAACTGAATGAAACTGATTGGAATCACTGGTCAGGCCTGTGGAGTGTCCTCCAGCTCCCCAAAGAGCCTCTCAGTGGCTGCCCTTCCCCTGTCCACCCTAGGGCACCTCCTCCTGTCCAAGAAGGACCGTGTCTGTGACAGTCTGGTTCTGTCCCTTGCCCTGCCCTGCCAGCCTTTGCCCCAGACTTCTACCTCTTGCCCCTAAAGCCAGGTGCTCACATTGGACACCAAAACCTGCAGGGACAAGGTGAGAGGCAGCTGGAGTTCCCAGGGCCACAGGACACCGCTTCCAGAGCACAGGTTTCTGTGTTATTGGTGCTGGTCGAGGGGAGCCCCACTGACAGGCAGCCACAGAGCACTCGGATGTGCTTGTGCTGAGGAAGGGCACTAAAAACTAAGAGTTAATGAACTTGGGCCACCACATGTGGCTGGCGGCTCACATGTGGACACTGTAGCTGCAGAGCAGGGCTTCCACCTGGCGCTAGACTTCGGTCTGTGTGGCCATAGCCTAGAACCCATACTCCCTGCGTAGGCTGCGCCTGGTCACTCTCCTTCCCACCCCACCCAAGCCCAGCCCTTCCTGCTCAGCTGGACCCCAGGCTGCACACCTGCGCGACCCACCGATCCTTTCTCCTCCTCCCAGAGACCTGAGCCAACATAGTGCCACCTACCGCTCTCCCCAATTCCCCACTCACTGCAGCTTCAAAGTCCAGCTGGTGACAAGCACCAAGCTGCTAAGCTGTACTTTCTCCTGCTTAATGGGCGTGTGTGTGTGGGGGGGGGCAACACCATTGCCTTGCCTTTTGGAGACAGGGTCTCACTACGCAGTTCAGGCTGGTCTTGACCTCATGTTGTATCGGAGGCTGGCCTGGAACTTACAATGACCCACCTGCTGGGACTACAGAGCTGCAGTCCCACGCTTGGCTCTGCCTCGCCTTTTAAGGGTGAGACAAAGTGACACCTGTGCCAGGGCCAGCACACAGCCACCTGGTCAGGGTCAGCGCATACCACGGCTCTGCCTCTGGCCCCATCAGCTAGAAGTGTGGGGTAAGGCCGCCTTGCCTTCTTCAGATGAGCCCCTTCCTGCCGTCACTCAGGGAGCGCTTAGGATGCCCGTGGCCCAGAAAGACAAGAAAACCTCGCGTCTTAAGAACTCGTCAAGGCCACTCCGCAGGGAGCGGGTAAAGGCTGTGAAATCAGATCTGGGCGCAGGCCCCGGGTCACCACCACCGGCCTGCAGAGCCTGTCTACGCCTGAACACAGGAATAACAGCAACAGCAACTAGTTCGGGGCGTCGGAGGCATGCACAAACGTGGCCAAACCCGCAGCGGGCGTCTGAAAGCCCCCGCCAGGTCCCGACCCTGTTTACCATCAGGGCAGATAACTGTCACACACAACCGCGTGAACCTCGCCGCTCTCGGGAGCGCCGGCGCACAGCTCCCACCCCCGGCTGCCTCCCCAGCGCCGGCAGTCTGCGGAAGGCCCGCGGAGGGAGCCGACCTCGGGCCCCAGGGCCGCCGCCGCCCGGGCAGGGCCTCACCTCTTCCTGGCGCGGTCCTTCCACACGCGCCCGGACTTGGGCCTGCCCCTAGGGACCACGGGCAGCGCCGCCTCGCGCTCCCGCGCCGGCTTCCTGGGCGCCCGGGCCCGGCCGGAAGGTCCCCGCCGCTTCTCGGCGCCGGTCACGGCCTGCGCGGCC